ATAATGGACAAAAGCAAAGTTGGGGGAAAAGGTGAAGGAGGCAGATAGATGGTGCCATGCTACATTTGGCCAATGCTTAAAATCTAAAAGCATTGAATTGTATTCAAAGCCACAGAACCAATATTTTAAGAACTACATTTCGCTGGTATTTCCGTTGCATATTGTTTCTTGTTTTTGACAGTTTTGCTTGTTTTGTGACTGAAAATTCAACTTTTTCTTTTTAAAGTCAGAGAGATGGGATTTCATTGCTACACGTGATAATTAAATGAAGGTTTTAGCTTTTTTTGACACATGCTAACCATCCCCACAGCATGATGCTGTCACTGCCATGTTTCATGGTGAAGAGGGTGTGTTCAGGGTTATGTGCGGCTTACATTTTCCCACTTATATATACTGTGTAATATATAAATATACTTAGTGCCTATTCAATTCAGTTTCAATTCAGTTTATTTATATAGAGCCAATTCACAACACGTCATCTCAAGGCACTTTACAATTCAACCAGATCATACAGTCAAATTGATTCAAAGTTTTCTATCAAAGGAAAACAAGTAGATTCCATCCTCTCATTGATTCGAAGGCAATTCCCCACATCAAACATGCTTGTAGTGACAGTGGGGAAGAAAAACTCCCTTTTAACAGGAAGAAACCTCTAGCAGAACCAGGCTCAGTGTGAGCGCAATCTGCTGAGGCTGACTGGGGTTCAAGGAGACAGAAGCAGAAATACAAAAGGTAACTCTCAACCAGCTCCACAGGCATCCCCGTCCAGGAAACACACAGCCAGGCAGATGAACTCATTCTCCAATGTCAGAGGATGAAGACAACACATCCAGCCAGTCACAATCAGAGAAACAGGACTATCACAAAACAATGAGAAAAAGATTCACTGGCTTCGACTTTGACACCCTGAGGTTTTATCTGCTGTCTGAAGTGGCCAGTTTGGCCTTGGTCGGTCATCTTGTGTAAACGGCCACAATGATGACTGTAATGTGGAGCAACTGACATCTATGATGTCAAATGAATTTCTGAAGATCGAGTTGTTGAACATATTTGCTCCAGTCCTTAATCCAGAGCCAAGCATTCAGACTAATGAAAGTATTGATTTCTGTGCGCTGACTCTCAGTGACTCCCTCCTTATTTACCTTCTCTCTCATTCCTTATCCTGTTACACTTCTAAGCTGATCATCTTCTGTCTTCTTCGACTTACCCCCATCTTCTCCTTCTTTCCACAGAGTTTCAACATGTTGACGAGCATCTACTCCATGTCGCCACCTAACGGGGGTATTTGGGACAACATCGACGCTGCCACAGACCTGCTGGCCTGTGTCAGCATGCCAGACGGCCTGACAGTCAAAGTTCCCATCAGAAAACACCAAACAGCTTTTGACCTTCTCTGTGCAGCCTGCAAGGTGGGTTTTTATAGAAATGCCATTTAGTTGTTATTTAGTTTTTGTTTTAAATCATGTCTTGTTGCCATGGCTTTCTTAAAAGAATAACCCACTAGGATATGTGGATGGTGAAGCATCAGCTTGACCCTGTTAGCACTACTTGTGTGTCGACTGACCTTTCATTGTGATGTGGATTAAGTTTACTCTTCAAATCTAACTTCCGTCTTTAACTGCTTTCTGACAGGGTTCTCTGCTGCTTGCTTTTTTCTTGCTTTTTAAAAAAATGCTAGAGATGGTATGCAATAACATTTTTTAATCAAGTCAATTGCAGGGTTTTTAATTAATTAATTGCAATTAATCACATTTTAATCAAAAACCCTATGTCCACAAATTATACCACCTTTTCAATTCAAAAGCTTTTTCTCCTCAATTATCGTATAAATAATTATATGAGCACGGCAGCACATTTTTTGATTAAACAATTTAGGTTATGTAAGGTGTGTGGGGGGTATCTATTCTACATGAATTAATAGTTTAATTGTGTTTTTTTTTAAACCTTTTTATTATTCAATTCTTTATAAATCTAGAGAGCACGTAATCTTATCTTTGTCTGCCTGATTATTTAATTTAAAGCATGTTTAAACGTTTAATCCACACACAGTTCCAGTTTGAGCTGCCATTTTGCCAAACCATGTCTTATTCTTAAGTGTTTTTGTGAAAAACATTTTTAATTTGAGTAAAGCTACGTTTAAGTTAAGCTCTTAGTTACATTTTGGTGACTGTACTTCTGGTTATCACTGTATTTTGAAACAAAGGCAAATAAAAGCATCCCGACCCTTTAGCCATCAACCCTTCCTACATCAAACCTCTCTCTGTGGTACATTATATTTGACATAATGCTGCGGTTATGGTGAAAATATTCCTTCTAGACTTAGATAATGGTTATTTCTTTGTGCAGAGGTCTTCAACAGGGGGTCTGCGACTCCTCTGGGGTCTATGGAGGTACTGCATGGGGGTTGCGAAAGTTTTGGTTGAAAATTTGTCCACTAATTGACATGTCTTTAAATACACATTAACATGAATTCAACACACTGTAGTTAACAGATAAATGGAGGCAGAAGATGTCTTTCAGTCATAAATGCACACATTCAGCAACACACAGGAGCTCTTTCAAGCTGGGCACCGTTTCATTCACAGCACCTGTCCCATCAATGAAAAATCAGAATCAGAAATAATCCCAGGGAGAAATAACTTTCCTTACGTTACTCCATCTATACTACAGTGACTATAGGACCAGTTTGATAGAACACAATTTGATACACTATATATAATAAGGGGGAACCCGCTCTATCTCGCCATCAGTTTTGGGGGTCCTTGGCCTGGAAGACACCTGTTGAAGACCCCTGTTTTGTTGAATTTAGCTAATTCTAACATCTTCAGCTAGTTTCTACCGGTCTGTTTGGATTCATGCAGATATCTTTCTCTGTCTGCCTCTGCTGCTCTTTTATGATGCTAATAGTTCTGCTGCACTTCTTGCCTCGATATATCTGCATTTTTTTCTGCATCTGCTTAGAGAAGATTATCCTTTCTCCCTCCGCAGTGACTTTTATAGCAGACGCGATTTGACCCGGACTCTGGTGGGACGGAGAGTTTTGTTAACCAGCTTTGCCAAACAATGAGGTCAGGGGTGGAAACTGAGGGCAGAGAGAGATTTTAAGAAAATCAAACCACCCTGCTGCATGTAGGGTCTCATATAGCCTGCTGTTAATTTTAATAAATCCAAAAGTTAAGTTATTTTATTTGTACATTGGCTTTATAAGTTAAAGCAGCCTCGCCCTCATTAATTGCGTTAATTTTTTTACACGTTAAAATATTTCTAATTAATGAATTGAAATTAACGCTCTTAAGTCCTGTCCCTAAGAATTTTTTCTTCATTTTATTGATTGCAGTAAACTGTTTCACCAATTTTTTTTTTTTATATAACTTAAAAAAGCTATTTTTGGAATTATTAGTGAACCAACATTTAAAGCTATTCAGAGTTTAATCAGATCTTACACAGGAGTGTACACGATTGTTCACACTGCTTCCTATTAAAGACTGCATACATTGACACTTCCACACAAAATATCCCTGTGTTTCTCCACCATGTGCAAAGTTGGTGAATAATTCACACCTCAACAGCACAGCAGCTGTCCACCTAAGTACTGGTGCATGAATTATGTCTCATTATTGTCTTCATGCAGGCCACTGAACATGAATGTTTTCTCGTGTGAACAGGTGAAACAGCTGGACCCGAGTTCACATTGCGTCCGCCTGCACAGACAAGCAGGAGAGGAGGTGGAAGTCCGGTTCTTAGCCTCCTGTGAGCTTCTCCATGATGTGGTGAGAAGATGCATGCATCGGAAAACTCCCAGAAGTATTAAACATTCTGGCTTTTTGATGGTGCATTCATTTCTTTCATTGCACTCTGCAGGTCTGGGATCAGCTGGAGGTGGTTTCTGCTAATGTTTTTACTCTTCACATGGAGAGGCCGAGTAGCACTGCAGACTTTGGTCAGTAAGAGTCAGTTATGATTTCTGTGCATACTTAATCCTTTTTTTTCTTTATTTAATTAATTTTCCCTTAAACTCTTTTATGCCAGGCTTTGCCATAACAGGACACATTGACAACCAGAAGAACAGCAGGATCTTTGTGAGCGAGGTTCTCCCTGATGGGCTGGCTTTCAGTGAAGGTGGCACCTTGTCGCTCAATCGCACCCTTACAGTTTATTGCATGTGCTCTGTAGGCTGTTTTTCCTGAAAAATACACGTTTGCTTTCAGGACTGCGTCCAGGCGACGAGATCCTGGTTCTGAATGGCCAACGTGTGTCCGCTCTGGACCTGGCATTAATCCAAAACCTGTTTGCTGAGCCAAGCCTGCACCTGAGGCTTAGGAGGGATGGACCAACATCTCCCGCTCGGGCTCACGACTGCCTCAGCCATCCATGCAAAGATAGCCAAGAGGCCTGGAGTAAACACACCAGAGCCAAGTCCTCATCAGGTGCTTGTTTTTTTTTTTTTTTTTTTTTTTTACATGCAACTCCTGAGACATCAGAATTTACTTTCACTTTATGAAGGTGAATGTGACGTCAATCTTGCAGTTTGGTTTAATCTTTTTGCAAAAGTCTGCTTTTCACACTTCTAATATTCAACAAATCTTTAATTTAGCACTTTTCTTTATAAAAAACACTTTGTCATTCTGTTGCAACCATGATGCAGCAACCGAAACCTGAAGGTCCTCTAACCACTGTCTTCATCATCTTGCATTTTTGCATCTTTTGTTTAATAAAGAGCTACGCTTGGTAAGTGTATGCAAACGGGAGGGATCTGCTCCTAAGACTGAAGGTAGTTTTGACACGTAAACCACAAGACAACCAACTCACTTCTGTTTTTAGTTAAATTCTCGACTTCCTCTGCAGTCTGTGAAAAAAAAGCTAAAAGAGAAATGCAGAAAGAAGAAGTTTAGATAAAGTTGAATCGAACTGGAGGAGTGAAAAACGCCAGACGGGGTCTTTGAGCCCAGGAGGCTCATTAGCTCTGAGTTTATGGCGTTCTGTCAGGCTGGTTTAATCTCACAGTGGATGCGAGGTGACAAAATAAACGGTAAGTTTAGATTTCACACCACATAATCCCACCTTTATACCAGAGTAGCAGTTTCTGAAAGCTTCACATTGTTATAGTAACCATTTACTTGCAGATTTTAATCCAGAAAGTTCATGAAATGAACCTTACTTGATGCTTTGCGTTTTTAAATCTTAAAGATTCCTGCTTGTGCCTCCCTTCTTGATCTATGGAGGATATTTTGCCCGTTTGACTGCGTAGAAACAAAAGCTTCAGTTTCAGTGAAAGTGTTAATTGTCTTCTCAATTCTAGCAATTCATTAGTGTTTCCTCCAGCATACGCATAATTGAACACAAAGGGATTAATGATTTGAAGGCCTCATTACTGCAGTTTAAAGTGATGAAAGTGCCTGCAGTTTGTGTTCTTTGACCCTAGAGGGCGTCTGCTGAGCAGCCTCTGCTCCAAGGCACGGCTGATGAGGAGATGAGGAGGTAAACACTGCCAGCGGAGGAATTAATGCTTGTATGACAGGAATTACAAAAGCCTTTTGTTTTGTTTTGTTTTTCGCTGCAAAGAGGCACTCTGTCATTTCTGTCTGCAGAGATTATAATGCAGAAAAATGAAAGGACAAGAGAAATGAACGTTGATGATATCTTTAGAAAATCTACTCCAGCAGTAAAAGATTTCTTGACAAGCTTAAACAAAACCCAGAAAAGTTCCTTCCTTTTGTTTCCTGCTGTCACTCTGGCCTTCCTCCCACTCGTCATCACAATAACGTGTTTTTATCTGCCAGCTCCTGCAGTCTGTCCTTGAGATGTTGAATTTTTAAAGTGCTCACATCCTGCAATCAACACTGTTATGCAAGTAGAAACTGGATCTAGAAGGAGTCTTATTTGTTTTTAAATAAAGGATATTTGCAAGTAGATCTTTATATGCTAGAATCTAACCATTTTTTTCCTTCACTTTTTAGTTATATAGTTAAATAAGAGAAGTGAGAGAATTAAGAATGGCTTTGTCACACACAGATGGACGGATACGTTTTTACCTTTAATAAAAAAGACAAATCAGTTTCTCTTCAGATTATTTTAGCATAAAATAAAATCAGTTTAAATGTTTAATATGATAAAGATGCTTTGATATTATTGTGTCTATGATCATGTTCTGTTAAATCAACAGTTGCCTTACTTGCAGGTTTTATTTTTTACACCATGCACAGGACAATAATATGCAGAAATACGCCACAAAAGAAGCTGGCATTGCAGCAAGTGTGTGCATTCTTTTATAATTATGGAAAATTAAGTGGAAGGACAAAGAAGAGCACAAAAAAGATCGGCCTGCTTTACAGCGGCCTGCTCTTCATCCTGTGACATGGAAGCTGGCTCAGTTGCGTTTTGTATCTCTGCTTCTTTCTCCTTGAACCCCAGTCGGCCTCAGCAGATGGCCGCTCACACTGAGCCTGGTTCCACTGAAGATTCTTCCTGTTAAAAGGGAATTTTTCCTCTCCACTGTCGCTACAAGCATGCTTAGTGTGAGTCAATGAGTCGACGCAATCAACTGGTTTTCCTTAGATAGAAAACTTAAGAATCAATATTTATGATCTGGTGAACTGTAAAGTGCCTTGAGATGACATGTTGTGGATTGGCTCTATATAAATAAACGGAATTGAATTGAAAAAAGTGGCCAATCAGCAGGGAGTAATGCAGCCTTTTAAGATTGTAAAGCTAATCTCATTTAACAGTTTAGGGGAGATTAGGGGAGCTGGAGTCTATTTAGAGATATATTTAAGTTTCAGTTTGACTAGCTGTCACCTAAATTGCTTAAACAGTATCAGGTCTGTTATGAGGTTACTTGCATGAGCTGCAGCAGAAAAAAACACAGCTGCATTAGGACGGTGGTATATAAACGTCCACACGTGAGCATACACCTTCTGTTTGACATCCTCCGTCTCTCTTTCTCTCCAGATGTGTGTGCAGCAGCCGACAATGGAGAATCCCTGCGCGGCGGCCTGGAGAACGATCACTCCCACTGCGCCCACAGCCTAGTTCAACACAGCAAGGTAGGATGGGCTGGAGCGTGAACGCTTAACCTTCTCTCCCCTTCCAGGTTTGTGTTTGTTTGTCGGATGAAGAGAAATCAGGAGTCTTCTGCATGACGCTGTGAGGCTGCGCCCCCTTGTGTGGCAGCTGGGAGGCCCATCCAAAGCAGACTGGCACCAATCCGTAGCATTACCATAATTAGGATCCTCCATCATAGCCACCGGTATAAACACAGCTTATTACTGTCACACAGACAGGGTAGGAGGCTGTGTTGGACTCCCACTGCCTCAGGCAGACGTATGCACATGAAGATGAACACATGTGAGTGAAAGGCCTCTAAGGAGTTGACTGTTTTTATTCTATGTTGCAATTAATTTTTCACCCTTTTTTTGGGCACAAATTATACACCAATTTATTGCTTCGGTCCTGTAAACTTTAGGTTAACAAACTTTAATATGGGGATGTTCTCTTTTATTAACAGGCCATAGAACTGGTTGGATTTGAATGGCTATTTCTGTCCAATCAGGCTTTTTGATTTGTAAACAGCTTTTATTGATGTCGTTAAGTGAGAGCCTTTGCCCTTGGGAGTGTTTTTTTTTTTTTTTTTTTCTTTTTGATTTGTAAACAGCTTTTATTGATGTCGTTAAGTGAGAGCCTTTGCCCTTGGGAGTGTTTTTTTTTTTTTTTTTTCCCTCTACAGCATGAAAATGTAATGTGCTAAAATCTGTGCTGCGGCATTTATTGGGAGCTCTAATGAGTTTGTGTGGTCACTGGGAAAAAAAAGGCAGGTGTTAATGATGTAGGCATGGCTCGGTGCCTGAAAGCATTGCTGCATATGTTGATGCCGTTCGCCTTCTCTCTGCTCATCCTTCCAAACACAGCCGACCTTAATAGTTGTTACAGTTGTGAGAACACGTTCAGCTAATTTCCCCGTCGTGTAATCTTTTGTTAACGAGAAGGGATGCTCATTTTCTGCAGGGATTCTTGAATGGAAATTTGGCGGCCAAACGTTTGGTGAGATGAACCTAATAGTCGCTCGGCTAATTGGGTTCACTGAGAAATTTAGCTCAGTGTTTGAACCTGAGGTCAGTCAGGAGGAAGGCTGGAGAGAAGCAGCCTCCTCTTCTCTTCGTTCTTTCTTTTTGTTTGCCCAGCGACATGAGTCAGTCCCACTGCGCTGGGATCTGCACTGCACCACTTCTGCTGCTCAGCTCCCTGCCGCTTGTGTTTTTTACTGGGGAATGAATGGAATAAAGGTGTGTGTGCAGGAAGGAGGCCCACCGATGTGTGTCACTAAGATGCAAAAGGAGACAAATGCCACTTTTTTCATCCGCTATGTCAGGCACTGTGATGAGAATTTAAAAAGGAGTGGGAGATAAAATACAGGGTAAGAGATTGCTGCTAGTAAATCACATTTTTTTGCCTTCATGCAGAGCTGGATTTTTATCACAGCGCGGCCGTCTGCTCATTCTCCATGGCGGAGAGAGCGAAATTGAGTCACCGGGTAGAAAATCGGCCCCGCATCATCAAATGGGTTCATGCCTGCCAGCTCGGTATAAAAGTCGACTGAAATAGATGGACGAGAAGGACACATTTCAAGTGTCTCGTCGCACCTTGTAATCAGCGGCCTCATTAGAGAGCGGCCACCTTTGATTAATTGCTCGGTTGCATTGCAGTTTGCTCTCACACAGGAGAGATCCCTACACGTCTGTTCTGGTTGAAGGAGTCGTTTGCCATCGTTGTAATTCACGTGTTGGAGTTACATAATGAAGCATTTGGATGAGGAGAACCGTAGCACCTCAGTTTAACACAGAGATGTGGTTCTGTTATGAGCTGAACCAATCGATTGCTGATGTCAGCTGAAATGGTCTCGGATAACTCCCACGAGGCACCTCAAAGCTAAACTGGTTTGTTATGGATAGAGGGCGGAAAAATGCATTAAAGCCAATGTTTTTATTCCCGTTTGTTGCTCAATTCTTGTAAATTTAAACATTTCTGACTGTTGGTAGATGAAATAAGAAATGGCTGGTATGATCGCTTTCAGTAAATCTATGCTTTTTGAGTCAGTTTTAGTTTCAGTATGATTTATTTAAAAAAAAGGAACAATTACTTCTGCTTACAATAAGATTATCTATATGGTTCACCAGTGAGGCTATCAGCACAGGTACCTAGCCTGCAACCAGCTGCTGAACAGCTGCTAAGAGTGAAGGTGATGTTCCTTTAGTTTCCTTTGTGTTTTTTGGGCTCAAATGTTCTGAAATGGACAAAATCATCGCCTTTAAATCTCATATTCACCTGACCAGAAATGTGCAGCAACAGCTATGGCCTGGGCAGAGCTGGATAAATCTATTTATGCTATGATAATATCTACGGAAAACGTAGAACACAAATCTAGAACAGAATCTGCTTTTACTGAGATAAACCAAAAAGCAAATCTTTTTTTTTTTTTTTTTGTAGCTGTTCAAATAACAACCATTATTACTGAGGTGTCTTTAAAATGAATTTATTGTTGGTGATTTTTGGTACATGGATTTGAAAATATAAAATAATCATCTGTAATAAGGTGGAGGTTTTATGATGTTTTAGCAAGTTCTGAGCAACAAATCTGCAAAGAAATAGAAAGTTGGAAATGAACCCCCAGTTCAGCTCTCAGAGTACGGAAAGCTTTTTCATATACACCTTCCCCACAGACCGATAAACCCGGGAAGAATCGGCTTTTAGTGGCAGCGGTAACAGCTCACTGATGAGATCGGACCCAGGTCAAACGACTCGGCAAGCGGCCTGCGTTAAAATCGCCTCGGCTCTTTTTGGCATGCTGTTAGAACACCAGACCTGGTTCAACACGCTAATTTACACGATATCATTGAACGCAACATACAGACAACAACACAACACACCAGTCGCTTCTAATCTGACAAGCCGAAACAGCTAAGTTTACACTCAAAAAACATGGAGCAGCTCTGGTGGGAGAGAATAAGGCAGATTAAAGAACGATAAAGTAGACTTACTACACCCTGGCTCCCTTACATGTTGCTCTCCATTGTTTACTTTCCTGATTTCTGTCACACTGGTGATATCATCAACGCTAACCATGTGATGGCGTCAGCAGACATGCAGCTGTGGGGGGACAGACTCCATGCACCTGCCAGCTAGGGGTTAGACCAGTGTGAAGGGAGCCAAATGCCAATTAGTAGAAGTTCAACGCATGTTTGAAAAATGCTTGTTAACCTGATATATTCAGTGGGAAATAGGCTTTATTGTGGTCTTTACAATGAAGCCTTAAACCTTCTTTACCAGATGTCAGTATATCAGTATCAGTGCATATATGTATAATTTTCTAAAATCATGCCACATCATTGAAGTAGGATGTAATAACTTGCAGAGCTCCGCCATTGAAGATGCCAGACTGCGTGACTTGTTGCTGCAGCACAGAAACTCATTAAGGAGATACATCCTTGGGACTGTTTCAAATATGAGATATTTTTCTGTTTTCATAAAACATAAGTCATAATTTGAGCTGGCTTTACTTCTTCTAAAACAACTCTGGCTTCTCAGATTTGTTGAAATGTCAGGGCGGGGGGGGGACACGCACCAAGGAACTCTCTCTACACATGCAATAACAACAGATTATCTTCTTCGTTTACTTGCACGCCTTTGTGATGTCGTTTTAATAACGACTTGCATAATACTATAAACGGTCTCTGATTGTTGTTCTACCAGCCTGACATTATTTCAGACATTCCTATCTTGTTTTAAGCCAAAGGTTAAACAGTGAACAGACATATTAAGCTTCTTTGCAATTGTCCAGACCAGGCATTTCAGTAAGAGCATTTAAATGGACTTATAAAGGGAACCATAAGCAGGGCCGTGCTCCGTGTGGAGATTCGCCTTGATTCATCTAAATTAGGCACTGATGTCATTAGGCTTTGTACAGAATAGGGGAACACACACTCAGACGGTTGCAGCATCTCTGCTTCCTGCTGTATTGCAGTCTCACGCCCCCCACCGCTCTGCGTTCCTTTTTATTCCTCTCCTTGGACGACAGGAGTAAGAACTGTTATAACACCGTTTAAAAATGTGTAAATTGAAACCCGGACTTCAAAAGTTGCGCCTGCAGATATAAGCGTGTGCCTTCTTGAAATGTAATTTTAAACTGGAGGTTTTCCTTTGCCCTGCTGCGCCTGTGGAGCAGGACGAGGGAATCATTTGAAGATGTGGGTGTGCATTATGATTAAGCCCATCAGTCGCCATCTGGTCATGAGCAGGCTAATAATCTGAGCTTACTGCTGGCAGCCCAGTTAATGCGAGCCTCCTCTCGTCAGCCTACCCAGCTGTAAAGATAAAAACTTACTGAAGAAACCCGCACAGATCCTGACCCACTATGATACCAACATCCGAGGAATGGTTGCTTCAGAGCAGGCCGCTGCGGTAGCTATGCCGACTGCAGGACCAGGGAGGAACGATGAAGATCCTCAGCCGTCCCTTCATCTCACCACCTTCATTGAGATCTTTGTGCAGGACCAGTCACACGCTCAGGCCTTGTGCTCCCTGTTAGCCATGTGCTGCTTTTGGCCGTCCGGCTCAGAAGCTGAGGTGGAGGACCTGAATCTGGGATCGGCGCTGCTCCGCTTGGGGCGCCTTGTTAAGGACAAGCTGGCCTGTGTGGTGGAAGACGTCTCTGCCTGCCTTTGTTGCCAAAGAGGCTCCAAACATGTGGTAATTTTGGACTAGAGATGCAAAGATAGTAAAGTATTGTTACACAATTACCTGCAAATTAATCCCAGTGTTATTGAAATTAGCTAAAATATGCAGACAGTTTTATCAGATGCTTTTCCTCCAATGGAGAAAATAGCATCAAGATAGTAATAGTAGCAATATTCTTGTTTTTAGACCCCATAACTCAAATATATCCCCTTTTTTTAAGCAGTAAAGGGTTTTTCTAAGAGGGCTGTGTGCAAATTTAGCAGACTAAGCCCACAAGATGTTAGGAAACTATCAAGTTCCTTCGAATTTTAGATGA